AAAAAAAAAAAAAAAAAGTCATAATTGAAATATTTATAATATGCCTGTAAGCTTGGAGCATTGAAATCTATGAGCCTGGTCTGAGTTGATATGGGACCATGCAGGGAAGTAAGGCCTTTATTTTACTTCTACTTTCCTGACCATCATATAGACTCTACAAGGATACAACTAGTACAATATTAACCTTGAGATGCTGCTAACGACTCTAAAATACAGATTATTTACTGCAAGGATAAAGTATTCTTTAAAATATGTCTAAAGTACAGAGTCAGTCTTTCCTGTCATAGTTCAAGAGTTTTAACTAACATTCATATTTCTATGCTGACAAATAAATAAATTTGACTCTATTTCTTTTCCATAAATACATAGGGTGAGCAAAAAAAAATTGAGGGAGCCCCTTTTCTGTTTTTGAATGTAGCAGAGCTGGACAGAGATTCTGAAGACTCAGTGCATCTAAGTAGTAGAAATATGTTCAAAGTCAGGCTGTGCACTTTGATCCCAAATAAGCACTAAAATATTATAATTATGTAATTGAATACTGAGATTAAAAACAGACATAAATTCCTAGTTGATCTCCTGACTCCACAAGCTGGTTCAGAGTTTTCCAACCCTGGAACTCTTCAAGAATCAATAATTCTATCTTTTTTTACTAATAAAAGCAATCTGGACTGAACACTACATGAACTGACCATTTTTCCAGTCTGCACTAGAAGTCAACATAAAAGTTCCATTTATTTATTGTTCCCCAAGCTCATAAAAGCAGTATTTCAAAAATAGTTTATTGCTATTAAATTAACACACTTCTTTTTTTTTTTAATAGAAGTAAAGATTTCTTATATGTCTAAGCACCTGCCCTCAGGTTCCTTAAGCTCATTTAAAAGAAAAATACTCTTTCAGATGCTATTTATGTAAACAGCACTTAATACCTCTCCTGGAATATAGCAGCATCCTACAACACACCTGAGCATGAAAAGCCTGGACTCAAGTATAGCAAATCACCATAATTCCCCTGTAGAAGAGAAGAAACCAACTACAAAGGCAAAGGATCTTTTTAAAACATAATAATAATAATAACAAGATATATCACACACCCAAAATATCTCTAAATTGTACCGACTATCCCTTTTAATAAATCCAAACAAAATAGTTGCTCACTGAATGACCTTAATATTGATTTTGAGAGCAGATTGGTGAATGATGCAAGAAGAGGTCATGCAATCAAGGAAGGTCAATACCAGTCTAGATTTTGTAGACCAAAGTCCTGCAATTTCTAAGGTACCTACAGGTTTTGTGACAGCACTTGCATGACTGGATTGGTCATGGTTACTTGAGAGATTCTCATTTTGTGTCTTCAACTGCACCAATAAACTGCATTTGTCAGAAATATGCATAGTGCAAATGCCTCTTGTTGGTTTTGGTCCTGAAATATCTAAAAGTATAATATTCTTTCATTATGGAATTCAGAGATAATTTTTTCATAGGTTACCTTGGTAACAAAATTGTAACTGAGTTCTTTTTTCCATTTTGCATTAATAAAGGGCTAAATATTATAAGTAGTAGCAACTGTGTCCTATTAAGCCTTGGTGCTGCATAACAAAAGATGTGTTTCTGTAGGAATTTGAGGCTTGGAATTAGTCCTTTGTTTTAAGTCTTGAATCTCCGTGACTTTTAGGCTGGCTTATCTGTCTATATGAATGCAGTTAAGACAAAATCTATTAAGAAGTGTAGATCTAGGTTAAAGGCAAGGAAAGAATTTGCTTGTGGTCTGTAAGATTCCTATATATAGATCTCATGTTCAGACCTTGATAGGAGTTTAAGATGCTCCAGCAACTATGTCCAACTCGTAAATATGCACATTACTAAGTCCGTGGTGCTTACAGAAAACAATAAAGGATGGCAGAAGTATTATTAGCAACAACTCAGTTCCTCCAGGGTGAAAGAGTAAAAGAGGCAATAACCACTGATTATTTCATCAACTAGGGAGTTGCTTTAACCATTTCCAAGAGCTCAGGTCCTTCAGCCTGAGGCAATGAGAACAGATGCAGGAGGCAAATGGGACTCAGCAAGATTTTACCATAAGCAATAAAGTTCTGCTGAGGATGGAAGCTGCTGTATCATGGGTAGAGTCACCCTGAATTCAAGCAGCTATTGATGATGGTTTGCTCCTTTCTCCATTTTTTTGTGGGACGTGATTACTTTCCTAGGTCTGCAGTCCTCAGCACACAGTGCAGTGCAGGGCTCTTGGAAGTGGCTAGATGTCTAGTAAGAGAGAATGGAACCATCCAAGTGACAGTATGCCCTGGGGTGACTTTATGATGTTTGTATCCCCATTCGTCTGTTCTGTTTATGCTAGATGTTAAGTTCTGCAACTTTAAGAGTAGTTACAAGAGCAAAGGGGGAGAGAAGTGCAGAATTTGTTATCAGAAAACCCTAAACCAAGACACAGTGTTATCTCCAACTGTTGTCTAAGTAGATTAGAGAGAATATTTAGTTAATAGTTAATTAATGCAAGATATGTAAAAGGTAGTATAATATCTGTACTATATCTGAAAAAACATGACTAACTAATATAAGGGCAGAAAGATTAGGTCTTAACCTTACAACTTAAGAGGGGGATTCAGAATATGAAATTTAGTCCATTACAGTTTTCTACATGAGTTGAACAAAGACTGAGACCAAAGTAGAGAAACACAGGTTGTTGGACCTCCTGTGAGACTTTGCCATCATCCATCATGAATCACTGCTGAATATCCAGGTGTTTAAAACAAACCAGGGTGTATTAACACTAAATAGCATAAAATCATTAAAAATTTCAATTGTGAGGGAGCTCTTTATATCATCTGGTCCAAATTTTCACTCAAAGTAGGGCTAACATTTTATGTAACTCATATTTTTGCTTGATTGATAAAGTAGTAATCCAAGCTTGTCTACATAAAAAAAAAAATTGAAGACACAAGCAAGCTAGAGATATTCATCTAATATATGAACTTCCTCCCTGTTCTATGTTTGGGAATAGCCTTGATTTGCCAGAGTGTTTTATGAGGAAGATACAGTTTCTGTCAATTCTTTGATAGTGAAAAGTTTCTCAGGAGAGAGCATGCAGAACAAACATCTGATGTCTGTGCTGTTAGCAGAGCTCCCTGAAGCTCAGGGGCACACCAGAATCCCTGTGCTCCAGCATAGTTTTCACAAAGGGCTGGAGGTCTTTGGGGGTACTGCTGCATCCCCAGACATCAGATAATTAATGGGAAATAAATTTGGCATACTTATGGACAATCCAAGTGTCTGATGGCTTTAACAATACCATCTCCAAAACACAAGAGTAATCACAAAATCAAAGAGTGGGTCAGCTTGGAAGGGACCACAGTCAGGCATGTGTTCCAACCTCCCTGCTCTAGCAGGGTCGTCCCAGAGCACATGGCCCAGGATTGCATCCAAATGGTTCTGAAATATCTCCCAGGAGGGAGCCTCCCCTCCCTCTCTGGGCAACCTATTCCATTTCTTGGCCACTGCAGAGTTAAGTTCTTCCAAATATTCAGATGGAACTTCCTCTGCATCAGACACTGCCTCATGTCCTGGTGGCTGGCACCACTGAGCAGAGCCTGGCTTTGTCCTTTCGGCATCCCCTCTTTAGATAATTATACACATTGATGAGGACCCCTCTCAGCCATCTTCTCTCAAGGCTGAACAGGCCCAACTCCCTCAGCCTTTACTCATCAGAGAGATTCTCAAGTCCCCCAACCATGCTTGACACCCTCCACTGTGTCCACTTCAAGGGCTCCACACCTCCCTTGTACTGAGGAGCCCAGAGCTGCACACAGTACTCCAGATGGACAGAGTACTCTAGATAATAGTATGAGAATTCCCAGAAATTCACAGCCAGTTTTAGTTGTAAATGTTGAGATGAGAAGGGAATTGGAATCAGAGAAAATTAGGGAAGGCTCTTATAGATTTACCAAAATATATTCCTCATGTTAAGTACTGAAATACTGTCTCAACAGTCTCATTCTGTCTTTGCTATGGACTTCAGGGTGTGTCTGAGGAGAAAAAGGTCTCTATGACAGGCAATCGAGCAAACCTAACACTTGTATGTCTCTGTGTCTTCAAGTAACAGAAAGGAGGTTGGACAGGTTTCTAGCCACTTCCCAGTGTCAACAGTCTTTAAATGTGATATAATCAGTGCAGTATTGATAAAGAATTGATTAAGATGTTTCAAACACTCTGAGACTGAGGAGAACCAAAGATACATCAATTTCCAAATGGAATTTTGAGACCTAATTGGTGGTTTCAAATCAGGGATAGCCTGACCACAATAAACTGGACCATTAGGAAATCAGGTTAGTTTCAGATTCTTCCCTGCTAACATCCCAACTTCTGCTAGCTAAGCTAAGTCACTTGTCAGGCTGTGTGTAATATTATCTGTCAGCTTTTACAGAGTTCTGTCATCCAGAGATGACAATAGAGGCAATAACTAAATATAAACACCTGTGCAGTTTGACAGCACGGTTAGCAGGTGATTTTAATCCCACAGGCCCTAAAGCCTAACCATTTGTCAAGTCCACTTATGGCACTGAAACAAGCAATGTGAATATAACCCTTACAGATGTACTTACAGAACTAGTTTTTTGTGTTCTTAATAAATGATTAAACTATCACAAAGCAGATTAATTGTAGAAAATACTTTGTTTGGTGTTACCTCTGAATTCCTGATGTCACTAAGGGTCTTTCTAGTAGCATAAAAAGAACAGTATGATAGTTTTTCATGTGTGAGAATAAATATGGATCCAAATAATATCTGGCATGATCATAAGCATACATCTCATATACCTCTGTCAGCTTCAGCAAATAGAGCTAGGTTGCTGTGAAAGGCATCTTCACAAGGAAGATGTGCCTTGTAAGATGTGTAAGTGGTTTACTCTGTGACTTTTCCAAAGCTTTCAAAAAGATCATTCTGCATTTAGGCCACATGCTTGACAGTGTGTCTTTCGTCTTATTAATAGGCACCACAAGGCCACATAAGGAGGGGGAAGTCCCTGGTGTGGACTATATTTTCATCACTGTTGAAGATTTTATGGAATTGGAGAAAAGTGGTGCTCTCCTAGAAAGTGGAACATATGAAGGTAAGCACACTTTTACTGCTAAATTTGTATCATGTTTCCATTGTACTATTTTCCTATTTGATTGAATTGCTCTGATATATCCTGTTACAAATATGTCATTGCTACTGTTACCAGAAATTTCTGAAGAGCCATATGGCCATTATGGAAATATTTTCATATGTAAAAGCTAAATGCAGATGAGTTCATTGTAATTTTAGTACATTATAGTGGTTAAGAGAAACACAGTACTACAATACATTTACAGGACAGAAAGACCAGTCCTTTACACCAAATACTCAAGGACATTTCCACAGAATTTCAGCAAACAGCTGCTTTTCTAACATAGGACAAACACATTCTACATCAGAAATCAAGTGTAAGGCTGACACTTTTCCTTTGCATGTGGGATCCTGCAATCATCCATCTGTATCAGAAGTTGAAACCTCACTACTTAAGTAACAGAGGAAGAATTTGCCATGTCATGTCTTATGGGCTTTGTAAAGTTATTGAAAAAACTCATTAATTTTGTAATGTGGCAGAGGGATAGGGGCTGTCCTAATGGCTGTATTAGAAATGCCTGCCTATGGGGCAGAGAGCCAGCAGCTTACTGCATGGCTCTGCTTCCCAGGAGAACCAATGATTCCTCTGATTTTAAACCTTTGCCAAAACACAGCTGTCCTGAAAGTGAAACTGTTGTAAAGAGGTGGAAAGTTACATTGCAGGGTATTTTAATAAAACCAGACTAATGATACAGTATTTTAAACCAGATGTTTCTTGCAAATATACTAGTATTTAAAGTAACTGGGTAATGGATAGTGGGTTTTTTACTGCAGTATTCAGAGGGAACATAGTTTATAGGAAAAATATGATCCATATAAATGGGAATACCTGGGCAAGTAGAGTACAGGTATTTAATGGAAATCAGTCCCATATTTTCCCCTTGTAGCACAAAAAGCAATAAAGACCTTTTTGTCCTTTCTTCGTCCCTGCCAAGAAAAGCATCAGAAGATAAATAAGAAGCCATTCACCCAAAAAAAAATCATTAGCTGTGTTATAAATAACAGCAAAGAGGGTAATTTTTTCCCACCTAATCAGCACAAAGTACCCATTGTCCAGTAAATAAATTTTCATTAAGAGTTATATCAATACCGAAGTTGTAACAAAGATTTCCATTAAAGAAGGTCAAATAAAGGAAAGTATGTCATCTTTCAGGTTTCTACTTTTTTCACCACTGTCTGACATGTTACGGTACAAGTTACCTAAACATTAATAAAACACCACAATTTTACTTTTATCACAGGTTAATTTAATAGCAAGCCTTTCTTGAAGTGTCTTTTTGTTACCTTAGGTGTTTGAAAGTAACATTAGAGAAGCTTAAATGGAGCACAAGTCTGTCATTGCTTGACCATGTAATTTCATTAGTTTTCTGCAAGTTTGTAGAGATTGAACTGCTATGTTAAATTAATTCACAGTGCTCTTCTGTCCCTCAAGGGATACTGAGATGTGTCTTTTAATACCATCTACCAGAGCTGAGTGGACAGCAAGGTGAAATATTGGTTGAGGAAGTCTGCATAACTCCTCAAACCAGATGAGGACCCAGCTGAAGAGAGGTCCAAAGTCATGACTGTCCAACATCTGTCACGTCATTTGCTTATCACAGGTGACAAGTTCACTGAAGCCAAGAAATCAGCAACTAAACATACAGCTAACTAAAGTAAACAGACCAATTCTGCCTAAATCCTGTCTTTGATTCCTAGGTTTTCTGATCACCAGATGCACATTCTGACAAAGAACAGATAATATATTATCTGCCTATGCCTTGTGGCAAAAAATAGATAACACATGAGAAAATATAGCTATTTTACAGATTCTATTTCTCTTATTCCCATGCAAAGTCTTTTGGATATGATCATACAAATTTACACCTCCAGTTTTCTGGTTAATTCTTGACTGTAACGATGTCTCTGGGGAAGAATTTTACTAATCATGTGGTCACAAGATTTCCTGAGCACATTAGAACTTCAATGATTAAGTTTACTGATAAAAATTATACCAACCAGAGCAAAGTAATTTTCAATTTCCCTCATCAGGAGATGATTTTTGAATTCTTGGATAGATCAAGCAACTTATTTGAGCATACTTACCATGGGAGATGAATTTTTCTCTCCTTATTGGTTATTAGATTTATGAAACAAATCAGCCTTTTTTTAATTGTTCTCAGTATTAATAGACTGGTTTGAGGGTTTTTTTTTTATTTTAAGAAAATCATTCTATGTTTAGCTAAGTTTCTGTGTAGAGTAGCTGAGTCAGTCTATGCTGATTATCTAACCACAACCACTATGAACCAGTTCATCTCTACCAGAAAAATGGTTAAAAAAGGGATTTCTCATTCAGTTGAGATAAAAATTCGGACTGTATACCTGTGTTGGTTTTTCATCACTTTTTGACTAGAAGGTTTGTTTCATTCAATTTACATTCTACTGTGTGAATTCCAAAGAGAATCAGGAACATCCAGGTAAGCCAGAGGAGAAGGAGGTCAAGTGCAGACTTACCTGACACTGAGTGTTTGTATTGTTCATTATAGTATCTGGTATTGTTGGGAGGGAGATATTTTCTTGTAGTAATGACAAAACTAGTAAAACGATCAGAAAAGTTTTGTTCTATTGCAGTAAGAGTTGTGATTCCAAGTTGAACAGGATAAAATCTAAAAGTGAAAGCAACATATATTCTTAGAAAGGTAGAGTTGTATAGCTATTTTTATTTTTTTCTTTGTTTTCTTTGAAGCACCCTTTTTTTTTTTTTTTTTTTTTTTTTTTTTTTTAAATTTTTTTTTTTTTTTTTTTTTTTTTTTTTTTGGTTTTAAAATAGATTTTTAAGTTATAAATTCTTTAGAATTAAAAATAGGATATACTCAGTGACCTCCTTACTGCTTTGGACTTTGGATACATCTTTCACTGTCTACCACTTTTGTGACTACTGTAAATGACTGTAGTATTCCAAAGTGCTGTAGAAAAGCAATACTATGCTCAGGATAAAAACTCTACAAAACTCTATTTTTACAAGTTTTGCAAATATGAAATCAGTTTTTTACCAGTTTTGCAAACTTTTCAGTAGGACTAAGTGTGTTATTATTTTGATCTTTTCTACTTATGTCTTTTTGAGCAGCTGCTGATAAGAAAGCTATCTTTATAGATATTAATTTTTTTAAGCATACATAATGTTACATAAACAGTTGCTATGTTTTGCAGCTTACCTGTGGCTAAATTCCCTGTCAATCTAGGTAATATTATTCAATGCAGAACAAGAGAAAGAATACAAGAGGCAGTTCCATTCTTACTCAGATTAACAGTCAAAGTCACGTTAACTTCAGTGACATTGTTATTGAGTTTTGAATTTGTAATGAAATTACAAATTTTATTATGCACATTTATCTAAAATTAAAAAATTATTATAAACCAACACCTTGCTATTTCAGGCAGGGGCTGTTTGCCTGAAGCACATCAAGCATTTATTTCAAGGTCTTTGTATAATAACACAACCAAAACCTAAAGGTTTCACTTTGTTTGCTTTTTTTGTAGAATTTCAATTTATTGTACTGATTAAAGAAATTCTGAATTGACTCAAAATGATAACTACATTATCTTACACACATATTTAGGTGACATAACTGTGGTTCTGTAACCAGAGGAGGAGGTGTTCCTGTGCAGAATGAAAGCCACTGCCATGTGGGGTCATGTAACACAGGAAGACATGCTTCAGCAAAATAACCCACATTGCTTTCCTTATTTCTGGCATGAAGATCAAAGGTGGTCCTTGAATTGACCCAGTGTGTCAATCTATAATATGCAGAATGGCAAAATCTGTGATGAGCAGACAAACTGTGTGTCTGCGTGTGTGTGCAGGCTTTTACTAATTCTCTGGTAGGAGGTTTGGCCCAGCACACTGTCATTCTTCCAATATGTCAAAACTTACATGGAGACTTTCTGAGTCACTGGTATCAAATGTTGCTCCCATCTCCTTATTAGATCAGCAAAATTCTTAGCCAGTGCAGCATAGCAGTAGAATTAAAATGTATTTGAAATGTATTTTGCTTAAGAATGTAAACACTCATTAACAGGACTGTTAACAGCTTAAATATTTCCAAAACCCAGATATGTTAAGGCACATGATTGAATGTTATAGTAAGACATCATTATGAAGTGCTAAAAATATAAGAGTTTAATTGCAATGTATGCTATGGGTAGAATTGCCTCTTAAAAGTGACATATGTAGTGGCAGTACCAGAAATAAGAGATGTTCAGTGTATAAATACTGTAAGGAAAAGAAACATGCTTGTTTGCAATCCATAAGGAGAGAAATGTATTTCAAATGCATTAAAACAAGAGGTATTTTAGCAATGTGGGGCTCTGTAACAAATGAAAACCTGAAAAACCCTGTTCATAACCATTAGATGTGGCAAAAATAAGAACATAAACTAATTTGACCAGTATACTTACCAATAATGCACTAAGTAGAACTCTTTTTTTCTATCAAATTTTTGTTTTGCTCAGAAAATCTCCATAATTGTTGTTTTGTAAAAGACATCTTATTTGCTTTTAATATATAATCTTTAATTTATTCCATGAAAATAATGATTTTAGCTATTGTGCCATTAATTTTGTCAAAAATTCACTTTTATTATTTGTTTGATTGCTTGGAATTGTCTCAAATTCATTCACTAGTGAAAATTCCAAGACCACAGAAGCTATTTAACCACTTACACGATCATGGACTTTCTTTTGCCCCACTGAATTCCATGCTAAATTTCCAGCTGGCTTAAATGAAAACAGAATTTCACCTCTGTTTTTTTCACTAATGGACTAATATTTTTGGCAGAAGGGGGAGTTAGCTGGGATTTGCCTAACAATCCAGAAATCTGTAATTATTAAATCTTAAAAAAAAACAGGCTGAATACATCCCACAGGTGAAACCTTAGTGTTTTGCATTGCCTGATTATTCAAGGAGAAAACTTCCAGTTGTTG